CGAGGGTTCCCGCGCTGGAGCACTCTGAAGGCTAGCAGCGTTGGGGCGCTCGGGGCTCTGGGGCGTCTCGAGGCCGGGAGGACGACGGGGAACTGTCTCTCTCAGATTTCCATCTTCGGAACGATGTCTTCGGAGTTACCTCGAGTCCACCCCTGCGCGAGGAAGCCAGAGGCGTCCTGTCTGTCGCGCGCTCCCCTCCCCCCAGTCACTGTGTTCCAAAGTAACGTGGGGTTGTCTTTCGGGTTGAGGGTTTTTCTTATCATTCGTACAGGGCCCTTTCTGCATTGCCTGTTCATAAGTAACGCGGGTTTTAAAAAACCACAAGAACCACATATTATATAACCCTGTCCTCCCGCTGGTTGGGGTGGTTTTCAAGCCAGCAGAGCAGCGTGGGAGAGCCCTTTAGGTGGAGAAGAGCCCAGTGCGGTTTTAAGGTGAGAAAGAGCCTTTCCGCACCTGCAGAGGTGAAGGTGGGTGGGTGTGACCTGGCTGTTGGTGGGATCATGTGATACCCGCCGTGGTGTACCTGCCAGAACACTTAAGTAATGCCAGGGACCAAGCCATGACATGAAGATCCAGATGGCGGGAAGGAGTTTGTGCGGTGGGAAGGAACACCTGGTTTGGAGCCTCACTAGGTGAGGCCCAGTTTCCTGCTCAGATCTCAGAAGGTGGGTTAGGAGACAGCTCTGTGAACTTGAGTGGTCTGGTGACCTAACCCCAGCCTCTGCTTACTTGCCCGTGAGGACGATAATGCCCGCTTTGAGCCCCATGCTCCCGCAGAGCTGCTGTGAGTAAGGCCCCCGTAAGGCTGTCCGTGCCCTAATGCTACCCGAAGTCAGTCAGTCAACGTGGTAGCTTTCTGGGACCCAGCTCGTCCCAGGGCAGGTGCCTGTCTCTTCTGGCTCTTGCTGTGACCTGATCCCCTTGAGGTAGGGGACCTTTCGGTCTCCAGGGATGACCACTAGGCTGATGTGCTGGCTGCCACACTCTCTACGTACAGACACACGTGTATACACGCATATGACGGTGTTAATTACAAATGTGACATACAGTCCTTGCAGAAAAGATGGCAAACCAAGACGAACCGAAGGAGGAGATTCTCTGCGATGTCAACAAATGTAATGTCAGAGTTCGGAGCAGAGAAAGGTTTATTGCAGGGCCAGGCTGTGTGCAGCGTGGCCGAAGGCGTGAGAGGGATGGAGAGCCTGGGCCCAGACTCAGGGCGCCTGTTTCCATCTGTGTGGGGAAAGGAACACCCGGGAGGGAGCTCCGAGGACTTCTAGGGCTGCAGGGCAGAAGGACCAGTGAAGGCGCCCCGGTGGCAAGGGCGTCGGGAGAGACCGGCTGACTGCAGTCAGGACACAGAACACGTGGGCTGTGGTCTGACTTTTATCCCCTAGGCAGTGGGGAAAGCCTTAGCAGGGAGAACTTAGTGACATTGTGTAAGATTCAGCAGAGGCATGTTGCTAGAGGCAGAGAGAATCTAGGCTGAAGGTGGTGACTGGAGAAGACCGTCCATCCGGGAGACGTTTCAGGGGGTCATGGGTGTGAGGGCCGAGTGTTCTGTGACAGGCTGGTGGGCAGAGGAAACCTGGGTGGGAGTGGTCCAGGCCCCTCCTGCTCTCCTCCACATCCTCCCCGGGGCCGGACTGTCTCCCTGCGGTGTCTTTACCTGCCCCCCACGACCGCTCCCAGCCCCCAAACGGTCTCTCCTCTTTTCAGCTCAGACTGCCAAAACGCCCCACGTGGCACCATCAAACTGCTCTTCAGATGCACATTGGAGCTTGTCACCCCCTCTCCCCAGTCCCATGCCTGCCTGTTCACCATTCAGGTCCCAGCTGAGTTTCATTTCTCCCAGAGCCTTCGGTGACTCCGAGGCTGGGCTGTCACAGCTCCTGTTTCCCTCATGGCACCCATCCCATATGATTAGCTGTGCCTTTGCGTGTGGCCCATCCTTCCCTGCGGTGCTGTGGGTCCCCTGGGGCAAGCCTGGAGGGATGGAGTTCATCCCACTTCCGTACCCCTGTGCTGGGTGTGCACTCTGTGCTCCGAAGATGCTGATGGGAGGTGAGCATTTGCGAGTCAGGTGACCGGGTCCTTGCTGCACCTGCCAACCAGCTGCGTCCCCGGGGCTGGCTGTCCAGTCTGCTTGCCTGAGCCTGCTCCCGGGCACCCGATGCCTGGCCGGCTCCCTCCAGTGCCGGCCTCCCCTGCCAGTGGTGAGCTTTCCGGCACCCCTGGGACGGGGGTGAAGACGTGGCCCCTGTGGAACTGCGCTGGTACACACACCGGGTGCCTTCGTCCCCGCTGCCCCTCCGGCGTCTGGCCCTGGAGCGCACCCTTCCAAAGCTGCCGGGTGATGAGAGTCTTGTTCATTGCTGCCTGGCCAGAAAGTGAGCAGGGGCTCTGTGACAAGGAGAGGCAGGTACAAGGTCAGTCTGGTCCTTTCTCTTGCCCGCTCGACTGTCTGAGCCCCAGACCGCAGTCCTGGAGACGTCTGAGGGGCAGACCTGCGTCCGACGGTCCAATTCTCCAGGGGCAGTAGTGTGCTCTGTGCCGGGGCGGTCCTGGAGGGTCTGGTCCTTGACCGCCTCATCTCGATGGCATGTGTCGGGGAGTATGTTGTCCCACAGATCCCTCAGCCCCATGGACGTCCCAAGTCTGTCTGTTGAGGTGGGGCCGGGCATTCTCAACACCCCAAGGGATGCTTCATACAGGACTGCAAGCTGCTGCCCAGAGCTCCCCCGGAGGGCCTGAAGCCAGGATCTGGGAACAAGGGCGTGGTCAGCACCCGCAGTCTGGAGCCGGGTTCAGGGTTCAGGACGGACCGCTGTGTCCGGCCACTTGAGGGCCATGTTCCTACCATGACCCGGCCAGGGCTGCCGCAGCTCCAGGCAAGAATGGTTGCGCATCTCACATGGATTAGCTTAAGTCAGATAGACGTCCTGGCCTCGGGTCCAAGAGACTGAACTGTTCCCATCCTCGCCCTGGGCACTCGCCCTAAGAAAATGCCCATCCTCACTTAAGGAAAAAAGATATTCCGCGCAGTAGGGTTTGTAACAACAAAACCTGGGAAGTGGCCCAAGGGCCTGACCACTGAGGAGATGGAGCATACTTCTGGGTGAAGCCACGACAAACAGCTCACATGTGGCCTGTGGGGGACAGGGTCCCGTGTTCTAGAAATACAGTATTCCACGGAAAAGGGGAAGACAGATGCATGACGGTCGTTTTCAATAGTTTATGCACATAAAGGCTTAAAAACATCCTGAAAAGATGTGAAGGTGCTGTTGAGTTTACCCAAAAAAGGGCCCTGTGACCTTTAAAGGGATGTAACTTCACAAAGATGCCAAGTCCACTGGATGGAACCACGGAATGTCTGTAGGGTGATGACAGGGCCTGAGTGGGGGCCTTTCCCAGGTCAGGCCCCTGTGGGGGTGGGGGGCACTGGCTCTAGCTTTAGGTTCTACAGAACTGAGTTTTTCATTCTGATATTTTTTATTTGCACCCTGCCCCACCCCGCCCCCCGCTTTTCATTGTCCCCTGTCTTCTGTCTCGTGTGGGCTTACCTTTGGAACCTGGCCTAAACGCGTCCCTTTGGCTGAACAGCAGAAGGCCCTGTTGGAGACGAAAGCCGCCCTTGGCGTCTGCGGTCGTGAGAGGACCGGCGTCCCGTGGGTTGGACGCTGATGTGGAAATTGATGCCCCGCCCCTGCTCGCACGTTCATGCACACACACGCACACACGTCTGAAGATCTGGGCCCACTGGCAGGGTTGCAGCTGTCTCTCCCCAGAGCCGGAGGGGAGAGCGGGCAGGCATCTGAACTGTTACAGGCAGGGCCCAATCTGGCCCCCACATGGCGATTTTGGGGTGGCTGCAGCGCTGGCCCGCGCGGGTGAGGATGAGAGTCACTGGGAGCCTCGTCTGAGCTCAGGACCCGGAGTCTGTTCCCTTGAAGGGCTGGGAGGCAGCAGTGCTGGCTGGACCCGCACAGGCTCCTCCGAGCCCCAGGCTGGCAGCTTTGAAAGGGGCACGTGGGGGCAGCCAGACGTCCTCGGGCACTGGCCCTGTCTCCCGAGGATGCGGATGAGTCCTCGTCGTGGACCGCGCGGGCTTCCCGGGAGAGAGAGGCCTTCCTAGGATGTCCTGGACTCCCCGGGTCTGGCGGGTCACAGGAGGTGGTCTTAAAGTAACCGAAGGAAGTAAAGTTAAGTGTCCAAGGTGAAGCTAAAAGTTCCTGGAATTGTGAGAAAGAATGAATAGCTCAGTGTTCCAAAAGCTGCATTTGCCCTCCTCGCTGAGGCTTCGTAGAATTCAGGAATCGGAGGGCTCGACAGGCTGGAAACGCCGCACGCCGACATCCCGGATCGCGCTGGCCTTCCGGGTGGGTGACCGCGTTCCTGCCTGCGTGCTCCTCCCTCGGGACCTTCTTGCTGGCTGTTGAAGGCTGTGTTCCCTCCGGCCGTCACTAGGACTCTGAGATGACGAGGGGGTTACCCCAGGAGGCAGCCTCGGGAAATTTCAGAGGAAATGTGCATGTGGTCTATGGCCTGAGCACCTAGAGTGAAAAATAAGTTTACAAAGCTAGGAAGCTCTCGACACGGGGTTCTGACAGTGGCGGCAAGTGACTGCTATGCTGTTTCTCAAGAAACCCCCCAGAAGTTGCTCATTTGCCTGTGAAGGCTGGCAGAGGCTCAGTAAAGCCAGGTTTCTTTAGCTGTGATTGGAGCCGATTCGGGGAGGGTGGGGGGCACCCCGGAAGGCCCGCCCTGCCTGCAGCTTCTTGTTTTCTGTCTCTTCCCAGTTCGTGGCGCAGCTGATGGTGTTTCTCATCAGTTTCGTGAGCTCCGTGTTCTGTGGGCACCTGGGGAAGCTGGAGCTGGACGCTGTCACACTGGCGATCGCCGTATGTATGGGGCTTCCCAGCTCGGAGTTTTGAAAGCCGTCCGTCTTGCTGCCCTCACGGACGACCACAGTTTGGCATGAAAACAAGACAAGTGTCTTATCTTGCAGTGCTGGGGTCAGAAATCTGAAAGGGGTTTCATTGGGCTCAAATCAAGATGTTGTGGGGGTGGATTTGGCTCAGGGGTACAGCGCATGTTTAGCGTGCACGAGGTCCTGGGTTCCATCCCCGGGACCTCCGTTTAAAAAATAAAAGAAAATAATAAAATCAAGGAGTGGGCAGGGCTGCTACCTCTCCTTTGCCAGGTAGCCTCAGGTGTTCCCAGGAGCTGGGCCCTGATGGGACGCCTCGGGGGGGCCGTTCTTTTGTCTGCCACATCTGCTCATTTGTAACCCGTGGAGCTCTGGGCTCGTAAGAAGGGGGCTGGATGCTGACTTCAGGTGAAGCTCTGATCCCCACCCCCACCCCCCGACCTGTCTGCTGTACCGAGATGCTACTGGGGGATGAAACGGGGGCCCCAGTGTCCAAACCTAAAGTCAGGAGGACCTCCCAATCCTCTCTGTACCCCAGATGTGAGCCCCACAACCGGAGAGCTGTCGCTGACCTCAGCTGGGGTGAACTGTGTGGCCAGAGGGCCCTGCCGGCTTGTTGGGCGGCCAGCTAGGTGTTTCTGGGGAGGTGGACTCGATGGCTGTGTGCAGCTGTGTCCCTGTCCTCAGCCTCCCGGGCCCCTGCGTGGCACACATCCACCTCACCCCGGGGACCCGCGGGCTTGCCACCTCTGACACCCGCAAGACTGCCCTGCACGTGTCCCCGCGTTTTCACGGCTTGTTTTGCTTTCTGGGGGCAGTATGGACAACCCAGGTTTAACGATCCCGTTCGGTTTCTGATGTTTTGAAATTTGGGGGAACTCAGCAAGCCCCTTGCCGATCCTCTTTGGCCAAGGACGTACAGGAAAGCTGGTGCTTCTGGGCTGGGCCGGTTTGGGCCGCTGTCCGTGGGCACCTCCCCACAGACTCAGGTGGAGGAAGCAGGTTCCAGGCAGGCGGAGCATCAGATGTCCGGTGTGGACACCCCCTGGTTTGAGGGTGCTGCCCGGGGGCCCCGGCATCTCAGAGATTTGCTTCTGCGCTCCCAGAGCCCTTCAGGGCATCTCACGGGCCAGGCTTGCTCTCCAGCCAGTGAACTTACCCCAGACTGCTCTGTGCCACACCCCTGTCCCCTTAAGAAGGATTCGCGTTCCCCTGAACCTGGGGAGCAAAATACTAAGATGTGAGAAAGAAGAAGGCTGTGTGATGCCGCCTAGACTGCCCTCCTCCCCCCGCTGGCCCAGCCTTCAGTGCCCGGGCTCCAGGCAGATCGCAAAGTGGCCGCCATGGGGCAGACAGAGAACCTGCCTTCCTGAGTGTCTGGCCCCGCCCCCCGTGTTTATTTCCAGGTAATCAACGTCACTGGTGTTTCCGTGGGATTTGGCTTGTCTTCCGCTTGTGACACACTCATCTCCCAGGTGAGTGGAAGCCCCAGGTCTGGGCCTGCAGGACCCCCACGCAGGGGGAGGGAGGGGTGCCCCAGGGCAACCCTGCCTGTTCCCTTTGAAGTGTGGCCTCCAGTCTCTCAGGCCCGGGGAAGTGACCTTTAGCTGCACCGCTGCCTCACGCTGCATTTTGACAAACGGGATGTTTTGTGAGTCTCTCTTATCACTGCCCGCATCCTTGAGTTCGGTGTGGCCCAGCGGCCCTCAGACGTGAGTGTGTGGCAGTCACCCCAGGGCCCCAGCGGCCACCAGCCGGTGAGCACTGAGTAACCGGGATGAGGAGAGGAAGTGCTTGCCGATGCCAGGGGCGCAGTCACTGCCTCTGGCTAATTTCAAGCTGCCTAAGATGTCACTGAACACAGAGCTGGGGAGAGATGTGCCCAGTGGGTTTTGGAAGCCAGGGGAGCTGGCTCCAGCCCCCCACCGGCCCTCCCACAGAGTTCTGCTTCCAGAGATCTGGGGCAGCGGTGGGTAGGTTTCCAGGTGATGCAACCCTGACTGTCCATTCAGATCACACGGATATAGGGGAGCTTTTACGAAGTACTGGTATCTGGGACCCACCAGGACCGTGAAATCCAGATTGATCTTCAGTCTGGCATCAGTGATGTTAAAAATGAGGGGCGGCGGGGGTGCCGTTTCCCTGCTGATGGGTCTGTGTGGCCGTGTGTACGCAGACGTTCGGCAGCCCCAACAAGAAGCACGTGGGGGTCATCGTGCAGAGGGGCGTCCTGGTGCTGCTGCTCTGCTGCCTCCCCTGCTGGGCGCTCTTCCTCAACACCCAGCACATCCTGCTGCTCTTCAGGCAGGACCCGGCCGTGTCCAGGTGAGTGGGAGGGGCCGCGCCTGGCGGGACCGGGCCCATCCCAGCACCAAGGCCAGGGTCAAGGGAGGGGGTTGAGCCTCCTGCTGACTTTCCACACTTGGAGCCTGGGAGCCACGCACATCCGGGTGACTTGGAGGGTGAGTCATTTGGGTGCAGTAAGATTTGCAAACATCCTCCGCAGCCAATGGTAGGTTTGTTTGTTCCCGGTTTTGTGAATCTTGGCCCTGGTTGATCTTAAAATTGCCTGAGTGCCTTTAAGGTCCACCCCCATGCCTGGTCTCCACGCACCCCCCCCCATTCTGGTTTAATGAATCTAGGTTGCTCCCTGGGCGTCCATGTCTTTCAGAGCTCCCCTAGATGGTTCTAGATGTGCCCCCAGATTGGAGACACACTGGTTTTAGGTCCTTGTGTTGGACCAGTGGCTCTGAATCCAGGGGGCGTTTGGAGTATCAGGAGACACGTCTGGATGGCAGGACTGGTACTGGGGCGTTGCTGCTGGTAGAAGCCAGAGATGCTTCAGAGCATCTTACGATGCACAGGACGACCCCCATGGCAAGGATTACATGGCCACCCCCGGTCCTGGCTCCTAAGACTTGGAGGGGCCAAGAGAGGTTGTTTGGGTTACAGGGTGACAAGCTCTGGGTCCGTCCACACGCCTGCTCCAGCAGTTAGGCCTGTAGATGTGGGAAGAGCCGAGGGTGACAGGCAGTTTTGGGGTTTCCTGCCTGCCGTGCCCTGAAACGGAGACCCCTGTCACTTGTTTTCTTCCCATTGCGTAGGCTTACCCAGACCTACGTCACGATCTTCATTCCAGCTCTTCCTGTAAGTTTCCAGGGTGTAAGAGGTTCCCTCGCTGGGGTTCCCGGGTGGAAGGCAGCTGTGACCCCTGAGCTCAGGGAACCGGTTTGGGGCTGATTCCTCCACGTGGTCTCAGCTCCTTCGAGGAAGCTCGGTTTTAATTGTGCCCACACGTTTGCCCCTGGAGAAACACCAGGATCGAGGGGACCCCAGAGGTCGCCGTCCCCAGCTCCTATGGCAGGAGGGACCTCGGGCTCACCCACTGGAGGGGGTAAATTCTTCTCATCTGGGAGCCCCCAAGGTCCTCACTCTGAACCTTGAGACCCTTCCTTACTGAGCGTGATCGCTCGGAACCCGCGTGAGTGTGCGTGTTTGGCACGGCCGTGCCTGGTCGGTCAACACGTGAAGCGAGCTTCATTCAGTCAGACGGGGTAGCCCTTTCAGTCTGCGGGGCTGCCGTCACCGAGCAGCTCAGACGGGGGCTCACACAGCCCAAGTCTGCTTTCTCACGGTCCTGGGAGTTGGCCAGCCTGAGATCAAGTGTCAAGAGTTGGCTTCCTCTGAGGCCGGTCTCCTTGGCTTGCAGACGCTGCCGCGTCCCATGGTCACTGCCGGGTCCCCTGCAGCCCTGGTGTCTCTTATCTCCCTAGAAGGACACCAGCCCCGGTGCGTTAGGGCCCACGCCAGTGGCCTCGTTATAAATCAGTCGCCTCCTTAAAGACTTTGTCTCCACATACAGGCACTCTGGGCCACAGGGCTTCAGTGTAGGCGTTTGGGGTGCATGCAGCTCAGCCCTTCAAAGTAGTCACCTGGGGGGAGGGCACAGCCCAGAGGTGAAGCGCGAGCTTAGCACGCCTGAGGTCCTGCACCTTCGTTAAAATAAATAAATAAAAATTAAAATTAAAACGTGGACTTCTGCCCTCTAGACAGGTGCCGTAGTCTTTCTTGTATCCTTTTGAATCTAACATTTAATTATCCCACTAGACAGGACTTACGCCTAGTTTGTAAAGGGGGCACCCCCAGAGTTTGTGCAGCGGCTGCCCCCCCAGCCCCAGGGTGGCTTGGATCGTGTGCATCCATAAGACAGACGTTTGGAACTCCCGCCCCCGCCCGCCCCTCCCGAGACAGCCCCCCCAGCCCCGCAGCTCCTGGGGAGCAGAGGGCAGTCAGGCGGGGCCCCCAGCTGCCCACCCCGCGGCCAGGCCAGGGTGCAGACCGCTCTCTCTCCGTCTCCCGCAGGCGACCTTCCTTTACACGTTGCAAGTGAAGTATCTGCTCAACCAGGTAACGCAGGCTCTTCCTTCCCTTCGGTGGGGCTGAGGGAGCGCCCGCCCTTTGGGGCTGGGACCCTGAACGCAGCGGGGGCCAGGGCGCTCGCGGACGGGGGCCGCGGAGGTGTGTCTCCCTGCGTTGCGTGCAGGGCCTGTGCTGCTGGGACACCTTGTCACCAGCTCTGGAACCTGTTTATCTGCTTCCCGCCGGGAAGCGTCATCCTTGGCGGGAGAGGGCTGGTGTTCTCAGCGTTACCACCACCCAGCTCCAGGGGGCCGACCTCTCGGCTCAGGTCTGTCTGCAAGGCCCCCCTTTCCCCTGTGGGGAAGCCCCTTGTGACGGTAGCTCGGTCAGTCGGGACTCCACGCAGGTGACCGACAGCCACGGCCAGGGCCCGGGGTCAGTAGGTACGGACTCATGGTGCTGGCAGGTGGGGGACCGCCTTGCGTCCCGTGGATCCAGGTGGAGTCCCGGCCACACTGCAGGCTGTCCCGGGCCCGTGTGATGGGGGCAGGGAGGGCGCCGACAAGGACGGAAGCTTCCTGCCTATTTAATGTTCTTAAAAATAAGATACCATCCTAGTAACAGAGCCGCACTGTTTCGAAAGTCTACTCGTATCAGAGCTGTACACTTGAAACGACGGGGAAGCGGGGGAACTCCGCCCTCGCCCTGGCGGTCAGTCTCCCCGCAGACGTGGGGGCTCCTGCCCGGGTTCCAGTGGCATCGAGTGACGGCGTTGGTGTGAAGGCCCCTCCCTCTGAGACTTCAAGGCAGAAGCCAAGACCTCGAAGCGGAAGCCCTGAGCTGAGAGGGGTCGGGAGGAGGGACCTGGGTGTGGAGGACGCGCAGGGTCCCCGAGGCGGGAAGGGGGTGGCGTCTAGCCCCGGGGGGCAGCAGGAGCCCGGTCATGGGGGGGCCCGGGCTGACCAGGTGGGGCATGCCGCCCCCCACCCGTGGCTCCAGTTTGCTCTGTGTCTGAGTCTGCTTCTTCTGTTTTATTCACTAGTTTGTGGTGTTTTTTTATATTCCATATAGAAGTGATATCATACAGCCTCTGTCTTTCTCCGTCTGACCTTCTTCACTTCACATAAAACCCTCCAGGCCCATCCGCATTGTTGCAGACGGCCTCGCGTCATCCCTGTCGCCCGCGTGCACGCACCCCGTCGTCTGCATCCGTTTGCCTGCGGGCGGGCGCCTGGGTGGCCCGCACGTCTCGGCTGCGGCGAGCAGCGCGTCTTTTCGAGTTAGCGCCTTCCTTCCCCTCAGACCCGTGCGCAGGAGACCCGTGCGCAGGAGACCTGTGCGCAGGAGACCTGTGCGCAGGAGACCTGTGCGCAGGAGGGGGCTGCTGCTCATACGGTAGCTCTAGTTTCAGTTTTTTAAGGAATCTTCATACCGTTTTCCACCGCGGCTGAACTAGTGTACGTTCCTACCAACGGTGCGCGGGGCTCCCTTCTCTCCACGCCCCCCGGCGCCTGCCCCTCGTGGTCTGTCGAGGATGGCCGTCCTGACGGGTGCGGGTGGCGCCGCGCCGCGGCCCCGGTCCGCGTTCCTCAGGCGTTCAGCTGTGCTGCCCGCCGCGCCCTGGGTCTGTTGGCCGTCTGCATGTCTGCTTTGGAAAAATGTTTGCTCAGGTCTTCTGCACATGTTTTAATCGGGTGGTTTGTTTTCGCTGTTGAGTTGTATGAGCTGTTTATATGGTTTGGATGTTAACTCCTTGCTGGTCGCATCATTAAGAAGTCCTTTCTCCCATTAGTAGTTGTCTTTTTGTTTTGCCGATGGTTTCCTTCGCTGTGCAGAAGCTTTTAAGTCTAAGTGGGTCCCATGAAAAAATTTTGCTTTTATTTCCGTTGCTTTAAGAGAGAGATGGAAAAAAATAACTGCTACGGTTTATGTCAGAGAGTGTTCTGCCGGCTTTCCTCTAGGAGTTCTGCGGTTTGCAGTCTTAGATTTAGGTCTCCCATCCGTACGTGGTGTGAGAAAGTGCTCCAATTCCGTTCTCTGACACGGAGCTGGCCAGTTTTCCCGGCGTCTGACAGGTTGGCGATGTTTCCCATCCTTGGAGAAGTGGCCCTCTGTAGGAGACGTCCTGTGTGTCCCCGAAGTGAATCCCTCTTGTCAGCCAGGCTGTATGCCCCGGGGTTCCCCTAAGGGCTGTGGGGCTCCTTCTGTTGTGGGGGGCTTTGTGGGTGGTCTGGTGGGCTTGGCTGGCCCCCAGATCTGGTTGGCTGCCAGGCCCTGCCTCGTGCAGAGCCTGCTGGCCCCTGGTGGTTGGGACCGGGTCCTGAGGTGGGTGACTGCAGAACCCCAGGGGTCCCAGGGCTGGTGCTGGCTCACTGGTGGGTGAAGCCAGGTCCTCGGGTTTGTGCTGGACTGTGGGCAGGCAGAGCAGGGTCCCAGAGCTGGTGCTGGGTTGCTGTTGGGCGTGATGGCTGGCGCCTTGACACAGTTGGGTCCAGGGTCTGGGGTGTCCCAAAGCTTGTGTTGCCCACTGGGCAGGACAGGGACCCAGCTGGCCCCAGGGCAGGGCTGGCCTGCTGTGGACGGGCTGGGTCTGCAGGCAATGGGATTGTGACTTTTGTGCATCCGGTGTCTGCCCCCTGGTGGGCGAGGCTGGTCCAGAGGCCAGAGCCGGCTTGTGGGGAGGGGCAGGGCGGTGCCTGACCGCTGGTTGGTCGGGGCTGGGTCCTGGCCCTCTGGTGGGGGCCGTGGGATCCGGGGGTCTTCAGGCAGCCTGTCTGCTGATGGGTGTGGCTGTGTCCCCATCCAGTGAGCTGTCTGGGGGCGTCCCAGCACTGGCCTACAGGCTGTCAGGTGGGGCTAGGCCATGGCGCTCATGAGCTGGAGGGAGGCAGTGAGGTGATGCTGCTGCGGGGTGACACCTCCCCGTGGGGGGAAGTAGCGTCTCCTGTGAGCGTCACAGCGGGCTCTGTCCCGGTCTGTTTTCTATGCCAATGCCCTGCGGGACAGGTTTTCACCCCCTAGTCCGACGTCGTTTGACTCTCAGGCCTTAGGTCTTAGTCTGGGATGCCCGGGGGCCTGGCCCTGGGAGCGGAGCCGGAGACCCTCCCCTACTCCAGGGCCCTGGGATCCTCTTGGGTCAATTCCCGACCTTCAGTCTCGGTCCCACCATCCAGGGCGGGAGGCGGCTTGTCCACACCGTTCCATCCTTGCTGGTCCTCGCCCTCTGGTGCACAAGCGACCCCTCTTCCCCCGCTCCCGCTGTGTTTCCGTGGCCAGAACCACATCCTTCACGGCTCGGATGGAGGAGGAGGGGAGGGCGGGGAGGGGAGGTGGGGGTGCCTGTGATGCTGCCACGCCGGCCGCTGCGGGCTGTGTCTGGGCGAAAATCAGCAGTCCTGCCCTGGCAGCGTCTTCAGCGTGGCCTCTCCCGTGTCAGGGAATCGTGCTGCCCCAGATCGTGACTGGAGTTGCCGCCAACCTGGTCAATGCTCTCGCCAACTACCTGTTTCTCTATCAGCTGCATCTGGGGGTGATGTGAGTCCACCGTGTCTTGGGACAGGAGCGGGGACGGCTGGTGTGGCTCTCCCAGGGCGGGGGGAAGGGCAGGGTGCCCACGCAGTCTCCTCTGGACCAGGCAGTGGGGTGAGGGGCGCCCCTGCTCCGGAGGAGGCCGAGCTCAGGGCTTGCTGCTGTCGCGGCAGGTGGGGGGCGGGAGGGGCAGAGGACAGGTCCCCCCCTCCACTGGAATGGTCCTTTTCTCCCCAGGGGTTCAGCGCTGGCAAATATGATTTCCCAGTTCACCCTGGCCCTGCTCCTCTTCCTCTACATCCTCCTGAAGAAACTGCATCAGGACACCTGGGGAGGTGAGGGCTTCCGTCCGTGGTTCCTGGGGAGGCGAGGGCTGCCGTCTGTCTCCCAGCCTGGACGGGGCCTCGCCTCTGCTCGAGCCGCAGCCCGATGGCTGGGCGTGTTGGCAGCGTGTCTGCGTCCCGCCTGTAGGCTGGTCCCTGGAGTGCCTGCAGGACTGGGGCGCCTTCTTCTCGCTGGCCGTCCCCAGCATGCTCATGCTGTGCATCGAGTGGTGGGCCTACGAGGTCGGCAGCTTTCTGAGCGGTCAGTGTGGGGACAGCCTGGGCGGCTTGGGGCTGGCGGGGCCCGTCGGAGAGCAGGGCGTCAGCGGTCTCTCTCCTGCAGGCATCCTTGGCATGGTGGAGCTGGGGGCCCAGTCCATCGTGTATGAGCTGGCTGTCATTGTGTACATGGTGAGCATCTGCGAGCATCTGAGCTGCTGGCTGTTCCCCGTGAGCAGCCCTGAGAGTCAGTGTAGGTGTTCACAGCACTGATGACTCGTGCAGTGACTGATGAAAGTGCAGGCCATCCCCGGGCCTGGGAGGGTCTTCAGCCACGATGGGGCCTCCCTGTGAGCTCGGGGGCCCTGGGGGGGCGCTCCAAAGGACATGAACACTGCTGGTCCCCTGAACCCTAACACAGTTCAGATCTGAAGGATGTGACCTGATGGCCCCTCACCAGACACGCAGACTCTTTTCCAGGTGCCACAACAAACGCCATGGGGACAGGTGGGGCGTAAAGGGGATGGCGCTGGGTGGGGGCGGGAGGGGCCGAGCTCCGTCCTCACCTGGGGCTGCTGTCTCTGACAACCCGGGGGACCACTCCTGGGTGCGACCCCCAAGAAGTGAAAGTGGGGTCTCGAGCAGATGCTTGCTCCGAAGTTCGCAGCAGCACCGTTCACGATGGTAGAAAGGCAGGAGCGTCCCACGCGTCCACGGCAGGGGGGGGACGGACCCCAGACGTGGGCTGCGCACACAGCGGGGTATTCAGCCCCAGAAAGGAGGACGTCAGGACGCCCCGGAGGAGATCCCTGGTCGTTAGAGACTTTCCTTTGACTGTATTTTACTGAAAACCTTACCTGGACATCCTGAAGGGCCTTCTCCTCCACAAGTGCCACTCTGGAGTTACAGCTGGGTGGGGCGGGGACGCAGAAAGGGGGTGGAAGTGCAGGGAGGCCTGGGCCCGGACGTGCGCCGTGATGCGTGTCTGTACTTCTAACACTTAGACCCCCCTTGACGTTGGTTCGGTTTTAAAAAGCACAGACACGATGCAGTTCCTGTTTTCCTTAGGAATCATTCTCCTGTGGACCTACGCTCTACGTTTTGCTTTTTTCTATTCTCGGCAGAATCTTTTAACTCGGTTTATCACTGTGACACTCCTCACATTTTATGAATCGTTTGTATTTCAGTAAGTTCAGTAACTGTATCCAAATCACGTGGTACACAGTGTTTCATTGCATGTCGTGTAAGTTTTTAAGCCAGTCTCCTGCTGCTGAATATTTATTTCCAGTGTCTTGATATTATTAACAACACTTCAGTGACCTTAGGGAAAATAGCTTTGCGTACTTGCCTGGTCATTTCTTTAAGATAAGGGCCTAAAAGTGGAATTTAAGGACAGTTTTAGGTCTTCTGCACATAGTGTCGTATACCGTCTGACAGGTTTACAAGAATTTACATTTATGTTTCTCTCTAAGCAAAAGAAGGCTTGATCCCCTTCACTTGGGCTCACCAAAGGTTTACGTCTTGCCCCATGTCTTGGCTCTGTCCTGCTCTCTGAGGTCCGTTTTCAGATACCACCCATTGTTCAAGTAGCGTCCTTTATAACTGTTCTCCCCCTGGAATGAGGGTGTCTGGCCTCTTTAATGTCCTTTATACTTTACTGAAGCACAGTTGATTTACAAGGTTGTGTCAGTTCCAGGTGTACATCCACGTGGTTCAGTTATACACACATCTGTATTCTTTTTCAGATTCTTTTCCATTGTATGTTATTATAAGAAATCAAATATAGTTCCCTGTGCTACACAGTAGGGCCTTGTTGTTTATTTTATAAATGGTCATGTGTATCTGCTAATCCTAAACTCCTAATTTATCCCTCTCCCACCTCTTTCCCCTCTGGTAACATAAGTTTGTTTTCTATGTCTGTGAGTCTGTTTCTTTTTTGTAAATAAGTTCATTTGTATCACTTTTTAAGATACGACATATAAGTGATACTATATGATATTTGTCTTTCTCTTTCTGGCTTACTTCACTTAGTATGACGGTCTCCAGGTCCATCCGTGCTGTTGCAAATGGCACTATTGCATTCTTTTTCCTGGCTGAGTAGTATTCCACCACATAGATTCCCACATCTTCTGTATTATTATGGCTGATCTCTATGGAGCAGGTGCTCCATGTGAGGCACTCTTCTAAGGGGTCAGCATGGGCTTACTAAATCCCCACGGCAACCTGGAAGGGAGGCTCTTGCACGAGGTCCCTTTTATAGGTGGAGCAGCTGAGGTCTGGGGAGGATCAGTGACGTGCATGGGGTTGCACAGCTGACAGAAGGCTGAGCCAGGGTTTGAATCCAGGCCTCCTGGCTTCAGAGTTCCCCTTCCTACCTGCAGGGCTGCTTCCCTGAGTCCCTGTCAGCACCACCTCCTCCTCACTCAGGGCATCACCATTGGCAGCTTGGTGCGTGTCTTCCTGTTTCTTTAAGTTCCTTTTATCCCACATCTTTTGGTGAAAACAGAGGCCACTGTTTTAGGACTCTGTCTCCTAAACTTGAGCCCTGCGGGACTTTCAGAGCAGACCTAGGGTGAGCTCCTGGACTCCATGCCCCACACCCAGGGACATGGCCGAGTGGGGCCTCCCTTCGCCAGCTGGAAGCCCAATGTGTGAGGCGGGTCACAGCCCGGGTTTCCAGGCCCCCTGTCTTAGCAGATGAGGCTTCTCAGAACTTTTAGGACCAGGTTTTACCCCGTAAGTGTGAGGCACCACCTCCCAGGTCCCTGTTCCCGGCGAGGGGATGCTTGAGGCTCAGGACCGCAGACGGGGAGGCCGGGCCCTCCCTCCCAGTTCTCCTGTCAGGGTTCCCCCTTTGTTTCAGATACCAACGGGCTTCAGCGTGGCCGCCAGTGTCCGCGTGGGGAACGCCCTGGGGGCCGGGGACATCGAGCAGGCCAAGAAGTCCTCTGCTGTCTCCCTGCTGGTCACAGGTGTCCAGACACTCAGCAATGCTCCCTCAGCCCGAGCCCCGAGCCCCAGGCGCCCTCCCTGCAGACCCCCTTCTCACCGTGCTGCTTCTTCTGCCGTTTCACCTCCAGAAGCCTTTGCCGTGGGCCTCTGCATCCTGCTGTTAAGCTGTAAGGAGCTCGTGGGTTACATCTTCACCGCAGACCGGTGAGCGCTGAGATTTTCCTGGGATGGGACTCTGTGGCAGAGAAATGTCGGGGGGGCTGCCCTCACCCCAGGGCTCCTGGGCTGTTGCCTCTTGGATGGTGCCCGGGTCACTGGTAAGATCAGACGCTCACAGTTACTACCTGGGAAGAAGTGATGAGATTCAGGGCTAATTTATAACCTATAAGCCCCCGGGTGTGTGTTGGTGGCCACGTATGCTTCTAGTGGTCGGGCGCTCGTGTTTTAAGGAGGGAGGCTCCTGTTTGGTACCACCGCCTACGTCTTTAGAGGAAGCCTGCTTGCCCGGGTGAGTCCACTCCGGGCCTTGTGGACTCCGTTTGGTTGGTGTGGCCACTTTTGCCAGTGAGGCCGGGCCATCCTGGGGGGCAGACGTCTTGTGGGGTGGGTGCCCTCACTCTGGGCTCATTCAGCAGCAATGACAGAATGCACAGTTGCCTTTTTCTTCATGGATTCAAAAAGCAGGTGGCGTGGACAGAACCATCTTTCACCACCTGTTCTTAAGGCATCTGTCTTCTGTCATCTTTCAGCTGCTGCCATTTTGCTTTGGGGAAAAAAAGGTGTTTAAATGTCCTTCAGTGCAGAGCGAGTGGGAGGCAACCAGAGATCATTTTCTTCTTCAAAGGGAATCGGTTTATCAGAAGTGCGTCCTGCACTGATGGTTTCAGTGGGAACGTGGTAGGAGTCTGATTCCTGTATCTGTCCACTTCTGGAGAGTGTACAAAGCAGGAAGAAGAATGAACAACAAAAGGCCCACAAACTGTATCTTTGATAAAATTAGGAGACATAGAACGGTCACAAACTCAGATGATTTGGGAACTGGCCAGGCTCAGGCTGGAACCGGCAGGACTGAGGACAGATGCCAACAATGACACGATGCCTGACCCGTTCAAAGGGGGAAAAAGGAGAGCATCTGTTTTTAGAGCCAGAAAAGGGGAAATTACGGAAAAGCCATAATTTTTGTAAAACGTAAGAAACTAGTTTTCACAACTTCTTAAACAATTGAAGTATAGTCAGTTATGATGTGTCAATTTCTGGCCACACACACACACATACATACATACATCGATTTTCATATTCTTTTTCATTAAAGGTTATTATAAGATATTGAATATAGTTCCCTGTAGTTTGTACAACTTTTGCAAGTAAATTTAAAAATCTGGAAGGAATGAATAATTTTTTAGGAAAATAACATATCAAAACTTATGCTAGAAAACATTAAGTGGTCTAAATAGACTGATTTCCTTGGAAGAAATAAGAAAAAATTACAAATTTTTTTTTTATTGAAGTGTAGTTGATTTACAATGTTAGTTTCAGGTGTACAGCAAGGTGATTCAGTTACACATATAAGAAAAAATTTTAAATTTCAAAAAGCACCAACTCCAGAGGGTTCCAAAGGAGAGTGTTTTTTGTTTTTTTGGTTTTGTTTTTTTTTGAAGCACTGTCACTGTACAGTGTTGTGTCAGTTTCTGGTGTATGCCATCATGTTTCAGTCATACATCCAAAGCAGGGTTTTATAAAACCTTCGAAACGTGGGTAACGCCAATGCTGCTTTAACTGTTGCAGGGCACAGAGGAGGGAAAAAACTTCCTCATTCTGTTTCTGAAGCAAGTATGATATTGGTACCAAAATCTGACGAAGTTTGCACGTAACAAGAGAAAGCGGGGGAGGGCGTAACTCGGGAGCAGAGTGTGTGCCTAGCAGCCATGAGGTCCTAGTTCAGTCCCCAGCACCTCCATTAAAAATAAACAAATAAATGAAAACCAAATTATCTCCCCCCAAATATTTTTTTAATTAAAAAAAAGAAAAGCCACAGACCAACCTGATTAACATCGATTATAAAATCCAAAGTGAAATCTTAGAATTCAACAGCATACAGTGTTGTGACAGTTTCTGGTGCACAGCATCGTGATGCCGTTACACATATACGTGCATATGCATATATATATATTCAGGTTCTTCTCAGTTACGGATTATTAGGGAATATTTCCTCAAACTTGTGAGACACAGTGGACTGTTGGCTTCCTCTGTGGGCTGAGAAACAGCAGGCTTGTCCCCACAGAGGCTGTTGGCCAGATGCCTGAGAAGCGGGGACCCCCTCCGAGCATCGCCATCACGGGGAGCACCCCAGCCCTCCGCCCCGTCTGTCTCCTGGTCACCGTCTGCCTTGTCTCCCAACAGAGAAATCGTTGCTCTGGTGGCGCAGGTGGTTCCCATTTATGCCGTCTCCCATCTCTTCGAAGGTCTGGCCGTGAGTACTGGGCCGTAGTTTCTTTGCAGGCTTTTGAGATCCGTGTGC